GTCAGGGTTGGTCCTTTGGTGGTCTTGTTCAGAGAGCTGTTTAATTTTCTCTTGTAAATGCTCTACCATCTCCGTGAGCTGGATAAGTGCAGTTTGCTCGTTACTCGTACTGGATAAGGCTCTTGCACTTCTCATGGGAGCAGAGAGGGTCCGATTCTGCATCACAGGTACAGAACCTGTACACAAACTCACAGGTACAGAACCTGTACTTAGACCAACAGGCACAGAACCTGTACACAAACTTAGAGGTAAATGAGTTCTTGCGCAAATGTTGTGAGCTGATGTTGTAATTGTGGGGAATGAGGTAAACATATGGGCACTCTGGTTTTGATGACAATAAACAGGACCTTGAAAACTCACAATACAAGGAACTGCATAAGAGTTTACAGGTAAGGTGGTGAGATAATTTGTACCTGTACATGAACTCAAAGAAGTGCTGTGTGTATGAGAGTTCACAGGTAACCCAGATACTGGACTTGCTGTCTGTGTAATGGAGGGGCTCATGTGAGTACCTGTACTGGAGACTGCAGGTATATACATACTAGGGACAGCTGTCGGCTCTCTAGGAAAACCTGTACATAAATTCTCAGCAAATTTTGAGCAAACAGGTACAAAAGGCATCTGAGTTGTGGGACCACAGGTGTGAAGATGGCTCATTTTAGGCGTAACTACACTGTGTGCTGTCTGTGGCTGCTCTGTAGTAGAACTCACAGTTACAGAAACTGTATCTGAGTTTCGAATAAAAGGTGTAGATTCTCCGTCTCTCACAACGTCTGCCTGAGAACTCACAAGCATTAAACTTGTATCTGAGTCATGTAAATTTGCTAACTGAGAGGCTTCTTTATTTGAATGAACAAATGGCTTAGTTCTGTGCATGTCAGCTCCTTCACACGGAAATTCACATTCGCTTTCATTTTCTCTTACAGTATCTACGGAGGAGCCTGAAACTCGTGAGGGAGATCTGGATTCTTGAAGACCACGACGCCTCCGTCGACTTTTACGACCTGCCATTGTGATTTATTTTTATTTGATGTTTGCTTAATAAAATTTTTTTGTTTCTCAAACACAGACAAAGCGTTGTTATGATTCGATCACAGGACCCGTAAACTTAAACGGATCATTCGATCAAAGGACCCGTAAACTTAAACGGATCCCGCCGTGGATGCCAAAATTGTAACGCTTCGGAACGCCTGCCTTGTGTTGAGAACAAAAACTCCGATGTAAAGTTTTATAATTTTATTCAGTAATACATGAACAGCGAAAATAAATAACAGTGTTTGAAAATCACAAGTCTCAACCCTTGGGACAAAAGACAAAATCAGTACAACTACTGATATAACTGGGCAACTGGCACTATTTCCAGTAATTTATGATTTAAGTATAAATTCCCCCGACCAAAATAAAACGAAAAGGCTCTCAATAAATGACTTATAATTAATTTACCAATAAATATTCCCGCTACTAGTTCAACTACTAGCACGCAGCAGAAATATTTCCTAACTCCTAAACTGGGCTAAAGAAAATAAAATAACTAGTTCACAACTAGTAATTATAAATAAAACTAGTACAATTACTAGTAATATGAATTTAGCCTAACCTAACATTACACATTATGTACTTCAGTCACTCAGATACTGAACTAGTACACACCTTAAATTACTCTGGACAAAACTGGTGACCTTTCTCCAGGAAAACGAGAGAGCAAACGATATTCAGCATCTGAGTATTTATAGAATTAACAAAACCCGCAATAATTCATAACCAATCATAACTAATAATTCCATCCCGTAAATAATAATCAGCGAATCAAATGTAATCATCGTCCCGTAACGAAATCTCACTCTCGTACATCGTATGTGAAATTATTACAATACGTAAATAAATTAAATAAATTCATAAAACATAAAGTTACACTTTTAAAAGCTCATTTACTGTTTAATTTAAAAGAATTTACAATCAAATCTTCCGCCGAAATAACTCCAGTAAAAATAGATCACCGTGAAGCATCACGGGAAATACAGAAGTAAACAAAGTATGGCGGCGGCAGAAGTTTCAGTAAAACATGTGTACTCGAAGACCATAAAACATCGATCACACAAGAAATAAGGTAACTTTAAGATAATCCTAAATTATAGCGCAGCTTTATAATTACGTATGTACAATTAAGCCAACAAAAAGCGTGTAATTAAATAGCAAGATGATGTCTGACATTCAACAGATCGAAACACAAGAAAAATAACATAGATCTTCACTACACTTAAGCAGTTGTCAACCAACATTTAAGACATAACTCTCGCTGGACATTTCAACATTCCATACAAGAATTGATGAATGAATTTAAAGTATGCATAAAAGTGCTTTAGAAAAATACCAAGATAAAAAAAATGAGATTCAAGAAAAATGGAGGAGGGATCGTTACACACCAATTGTAACTCTACACGATCTGTTGTGGAATCACCAATATTTACATTTCTTACAACAATAAATAATGAATTCTCGCTAGAATAAATAGATTTCCAAGAAAATTCGGACTGCCCAGTTTTCACCTGTATTTTAGTACAATTTTTTAAAATCACCTATGTTATGGATCCCTGTTAAGTTATATGAATTTTGTAAATGTTACCCAGTTGGGGTACAACATAATGGCATGCCTTTCACTCTTTATAATGTTAAGTAGGCATTTTTTCTCTATGGAACATTTAGATATTATCATGCGTTTTTCAAGATTTTTTCATTTTGCTTAGTATACATGATAGATTAGTGAAATAATTTAATTTTCGAGCAAAACAACCTAAAAGTTCTACTTGTAGTGTTTAAAACTAAATGCAAAGCTGTAATCCATTGTCTTCAAGAATGACGTGGTATAAAACGAAAGTGAAAGTACGTAAAAATTTCTTTTAAAGACCTTAAGCCTTGGAAGCCGTTGTTATTTCATAAATAATTTGAATAGGTGATATAAGATTTTCAAATAAGTGATTATAACCTATTCAAAATGATAAGGTGATTTCACCTGTTCGAATAGGTGATATCACTTATTCAAATAAGTGTTATCACCTTTTCGAATAAGTGATATCACCTGGCGTTTCAATCGAATATCACTTATTCGAATGGGTGATATCACTTATTTGAATAAGTGATATCACCTATTCAAATATGTGATATCACCCATTCAAAATCTGAATAGGTGATATCACTTATTCGAATTGGTGATATCAACTTTTCGAATAGGTGATATTATTTTTTGGCAGTAAATACCAAAATTTCGCCTCATAACTTTATATCTCTGGAACTTTTCTTTCGGTCTCTTGAAATTCGAGAGATCGAGTCACATATACTTGCTTTAAAGTATTCACTTTATAAATAATTATTTTCTGTGGCTTTGTTTATTTTACTGACTTTATTTCAGGCAACAAGTGTAGCGGGATAATGGTTCTTTTTTTGTCTGTGTGTGCATTACTGTTGTGCAAAACTTCAGGTTAGAGACTGATTTATGAATTATTTTTTATCCAATCTTTAGGCACTGTTAGGTTAGAGATTTGATCTCTGATCACTGTTTGTAAACATAAGGGACCAAGATTTCCTTGAATCATTACGTGTTCATTCTGTCCATTTTTAGTCTGATGCATCAGATGTTTCTTTATTTTGACCTATAATTCTTAAATGAGTGATAAGAATTTTTAAAATAATTCCAATGTTGACCAAACTTGCATTGTTGACCAAACTTGTGTAGCCATAGGTGTTATATCAGAAGATCCAACTGCCAGCTTTAAGATGATCATGTGACCTTTGCATCACTAAACAGGTGAAGATCACAAAAGGGTTTTATGCAGCTCTATTTTTGAGTAATTATTCAGGTAAATTATCATTATGTGAGACTTGTAATTATGATTAAATTTCCTTCTCAAGAACAACAAAGCCAAGATTAGTCATATTTATATGAAAGCATTCTCAGATAATGTAGATTCAAGTTTGTTCAAATCATCATCCTCGGGTTAATTTTTCCTTTAAAGGCCAGTCATCCTTGGAAATAGTTGGAGCAGTTCAAATAACTGGTGGTAGTGGTTTACAGATAAATGCAATAGAAGGAGGAAATTTGACCTTGGCCTGTAAAAGTGACCTTTCAACCTTGACATTGGAATATGCCTCAGTTGTCTACAATAACACAGAAAATGACAATGGTACCTATACTGTAACACTGATTAAAAATGCCACCAAGAGCGATGATGACCAAGTACTGAAATGTAGAGCTAGGAATGCAACAGGACAGGAACTGGAGAAAATAGCCATTGTCCGTCTGGCATGTAAGATCTTCACTTAAATGTATTTACATTTGCAAATGTTTTCCCTTATATAACACTATTTGAACAAGGCGTTTTTACATCTCCGTAAAACACGTTCGTCATGTGACCATAAATTGATTGTTTAGTCATAAGCGATCTACGTAATTTGATAGTGACGTCATAAGCGATCGACGTTATCAACACATTCAATTTATACAGTTGAGTTTTGGAAAAAAAAACTTTATGGGATTCTAAACTTTACTTAAGTACCTTACTATTTGTAATAAATCAGTCACAAATGTAAATATAAGTAATAAGGTATCATTTTTTGAGTTTTATTGGGATGTAAAACGGGATGGCACATGATCAAATCATCCATAAAGCCGATTTGATCACGTGACCAACCCGTTTTACATCCCAATAAAACTCAAAAAATGATACCTTATTTCTTAATTTAAAAAAATGGAAAACACCATGATGGTTTAGTATATAAATCATGAAATGATTTTGTAGATATTGATGAAAACTTCAAGAAATTTCGTATTGTTTTTACTGAAACAGATGCAAAGAATTTTTTAAAGGATGCATAACAGGATGATTTTATACAGAGATAAATAATTTATTAGGTAAGATGTTTGTAAGATATTGCAAATTACAGAACTAATTTGGAATTTTTGCAGTCATATATGTTTTTTTCAGCTGATGCGACTGATGTTGACGTAACTTTAGATGGAGTAGGGACCGTGGAAGAAAATGATGTTGTCAATGTCTCGTGTACTTTGACACGCACGCGTTATCAACCCACAACATTTATAATATTGTCCGTTAACCCTGTTCATCCAGACATCAACAATGTATCCCTGTATACAACGACAACTGTGTACGACAATGTGACGGAGACTTATACTTACACTCTGTTAGCCCCGCCCGTCATGGTGGACAGATCAATGAATGGCCAGTCAATAACTTGTTATGTTTTAGTGAATTCTTCTATGTTTTACCAAGCAAAGAGATTTACTGTCTTCTGTAAGTTTACTACTGCTATTGAGTTAGTTCATACGAAAAAATTATACAGAAAATTACCTGAAATTTATTAACTTTGCAGATGGACCGTATGATGATCATGTAACATTTTCTGGCCGAGAAACAGGGGTGGAGGGATATGGGACGGCCTGGGTCTGTTACGGAGGATTTACAAACCCAGCAGTGTCCATCACATGGTACAATGGTTCCACAGAGTTCAGCCCTGATACACCACTTATTGTAGATAAATATGTAAGACTTGATACACCACCTATTGTAGATAAATATGTAAGACTTGATACACCACCTAATGTAGATAAATATTTAAAACTTGATACACCACTTATTGTAGATAAATGATACACCACCTACTGTAGATAAATATGTAAGGCTTGATACACCACCTATTGTAGATAAATATGTAAGGGTTTATACACCACTTATTGTAGATAAATATGTACTAAGGGTTTATACACCACTTGTTGTAGATTAATATGTAAGGCCTAATAAATATGTAAGGTTTGATACACCGCCTATTGTAGATAAGTATGTAAGGGTTTATACACCAACTATTGTAGATAAATATGTAAGGCCTAATACACCACCTATTGCAGATAAATATGTAAGGCTTGATACACCACCTATTGATGATAAATTCGTAAAAGCCCCGATACACCACATAGTGAAGTATTGTAGATATTTAAATGAGGTTTGATGCACCACCTCTTGCAGATATCGATGTAAGGCTTAATATACCACCTAATGCAGATAAATAAGTGAGACTAGATGGTTTTACCCAGCCTTGATACACCATGTATTGTAGATAAATATTTAAGGCTTGATGCACCACCTAATGTAGATAAATATATAAAACCTATTGGCGTCGGAAGCAAATTGAAAGTGGGGGGGGGGGGGGGGGCAAGTGTAAAAAAAAAAAATTGTACCTTCAAAAAAACCTGACAAGCAAAAAAAAAAAAAGGAAAATGTCCATTTCCCAAACACGAAAATCCTATTTCGTGGAGGGGGGGGGAGGGGGGGGGTTCGAACTTCGGTACCAAAAATTTTTTTTCCAAACACCACCACTTCCCCCATTTTTAACCTATACTAAGACGTACCTGTAGAAAGTGGGGGGCTAAACCTACGAAGTTATGTTCAATGTCTATACTAAGTATATATTTGGGAAAAAAAGTGGGGGGGGGGGGGGGCTTAGCCCCCCTAGCCCCCTAGCCCCCCCCGGTTCCGACGCCTATGAAACCTGATACACCACCTATTGTAGAAAAATACGTAAGGCTTGATATACACCACCTATTGTAGATAAATATGTAAATCTTGATACACCATCTATTGTAGAAAAATACGTAAGGATTGATACATCGGCCTATTGTAGATAATTATTTAAGGCTTGATACACTGCCTATTGTATATAAATATGTAAGAAAAGAAGATTATGCCCAGCCCTCATATAGCACCTAATATGTAATGCTAGAAGTTTATACCAATAAGCCGTAAATACACAGTCATTTTAATCTGTGTGTGGCAGCAGCAATGCCCGGTCGGCAGGGGATGCTCACTCCTACATGGCACTTGTCCCCCCTCTGATGATTTGGAGGTCCGTGTTTGCTCTGCTCCTACTTTGTATTGTTTTATGGACTTTGATATTGAATACTGTTCGTTATCTCCATATCCTTCATTCTTTAATTTTGCATATTAGGATATATAAACCTGAAGTACCTGTCACTAAATTCAGTTGGTTAAAATATTGTGAAAATTGGATGTGTAAATTGGATTCTCCTCTAATGCAACCAATATCTGAGGAATCAAATGTGTCTGTATGGAAGATACGAGTTTAACTGTAAGATGGAATTAAACCATCAACATTTTGTACATTGATCAAAAGCAAGACTTGTAGAACATATTCTGAAATGAATATGCCTATTACAAAGTTCATTAATTAAGAAAACAATCATGATCATGTTACTTTCATTGATTTTAGAGTAATTATTACTATACACGACAAGAATGGAAAGTCAAGTATCACCGAGATTACACGGGGAATAATATCAGTTGTGTTGTCAGAGGATCTGGAAATAGAACGGTGACCAAAACAAAGCAGTTTGGGGACATTCTTTGTAAGTGGATACAAGTATTTTTAGTACCCTAGTCAATAGGTGTTCTCTCTTTCTCTTTTTCTTCTGTTTTTTTTCTCTATTTGTCTTTCCCCCTTTCTTTAACTTTGAGATACAATAAATACAGTGAGTGCAAATTTATCACTGTGTTAGTGCTGTCTCAAAAAAAGCCAATTTTAATCTTTATTACTCATTATATCTGACAGATGACCCAGATTTAGTTGTTGGAGGGAGCTCTGTTGTAGAGGAGGGAGACACCTTAAATTTGACCTGTGAGGTTGTGGCAGCCAATCCAATGACAATTGCCTCATGGAGTGGGAGAGGTGAATACACATCATTCAATCATTCATCTCTTACAATCACTAATTTAAAAATCAGGTTTATCAAGAAAAGACCAGAACAATGATACAGTAACAAAAAATAATTAAAAAATTTGACCTTGAGAATGTGAAGGAATTTTTTTTTTACTTTTTTGGTTCTTGGCAGAAATTTCTGCTTCATATTACTTTATAAGTTAGCACACAATTTGTCAACATAAGTCTTTTCTCATAATGTTTATAAAATGATCTTGCAAACAAACATTGTACAATGTTTAACTAGTGCTTTAATATTTTGTATTCCAGTATCTACTTGTTTTCTTTCAGTGGGCCAGTCCTTGGTGATATCTGATATGCCTTTATTTACTTGTTTTCTTTCAGTGGGTCAGTCCTTGGTGATATCTGATATGCCTTTATCTACTTGTTTTCTTTCAGTGGGCCAATCCTTGGTGATCTCTGACATCAAGAGATATCAGAATGGAAACACTTTTTTTTGTACTGCCCAGAACTCTGTTGGCACATCCTTGCTGAGTGTCACAATCACAGTTCAGTGTCAGTTTTCTTTTGCTGAAAACAAAAACATGCATTTAAAAATTTATTGAAATCTAAAATTAACTTTCAATCTCACCAGAAAATAAGTCACATTTTTATTTACACTAGTTAATTTCCCACAACTTAATTTTTTAATTCATTGTGAAAATTGCGTAAATCATGAAATGAAATTCTATGCACAATATCATGTATTTCTGAGTACTAGGAGCCCTACAAAAGATGGAATTTAATTATTTTTTCTTTATTCAATTTTACAGATGGACCGGAGCTAAGTGTTCCCTCTAAATTATCGTACAAGGAGGGAACAAATGCCACAATCTACGGCTCTGTGTCAGCGAACCCTCCCGCCAAACTGGCCTGGAGAAGGGCAGGGAACAGCACGGTTCTCTCCACTGACGGCGATCTACTTCTGGAGAACGTCTCGAGGGACCAAGCCGGGATGTATGTGCTGGAGGCTACCAGTGTAAAACAAAGGGGAAATAACTCTTCACTGGAAATCACCAGAAATGCCTCTACAATATTAGAGGTCATGTGTAAGTTCAAGTCACTAAAACAATGCTAATCAAGACATTGATAACTAGAATAATATTATGATATTATTCATGGAATGCTTCATGATAGTTTTTCAACTGACTGAAAAGAGATGAGTTAAACATGTTCAGTAGTGTCTGGTCAATTCGAACCCTACTGCAGACCATAGCACCATCACCTATCCCTTGACTTCCGTGGATGTCGTTGGGGCACCTTCGAAGACTCATCCACCACTGTCATCCATAATTCTCTGATTTCTGTCGCTCTCTGGGATTCTGCAAGGCTCAGTCCAGTCCACTAAAGAATGTTATCTTCCCACCTCTTCCTTTGTCTTCCCCGTCTTCGTCCTCCTTTAACTGTCCCTTGCAGGATTGTCTTTGCAAGGCCAATTGAGCTTGAAACGTAGGCATACCACCTTAGTTTCCGCTTCTTAACGACAGTTAGAAAATCGTCGTGAGGTCCTATATAGCTTCTGTGACTGTCCAGCGGACCCTTCATTGGTCACATGATCAGTGTAATGGATGCCTAGTATTTTCCAATAGCAGCTCACAATCCTCTTCTCTAGCTCTGCAGTGAGAGTCCAGTTTTCACAGGCATTTAGGAAGATCGACATAGCAAGTGAGCGCATTAGCTGGATCTTCTAGCACAGAGTGATATTTCTGTCTCTCCGATGGTTTGTAATTTCGCTAATGCTGCACATGTTTGTGCAATCCTTGCTAAAACTTCTGTTTGGAGCCTTCGTCTGATATGATGGATTTAAATGTCTTCATTAATTCCAGATATGTTCCGCTTACCATGACTTTCGAGGTGATGCCTTGAGTGTAACGTTCGTCATCTTTGTTTTTTTCTGCACTATATCTAGATCTCAATACCATATGCAGAAGCTACTTGGTCAAGGCGATTCACTAAGTTGGTTAGCTCAGCCTCTTTCCCTGCAAGGCCATCAATGTCAACAGCGAATCGCAGATTTGTGGCGGTTCTTCTTCCGATGGAGACTGTGCCTTTGTGATCATCTAGCGCATTTTCCATGATCCTTTCAAGGAAATTGTTAAAGAGGATAGGAGAAAGCAGACAGTGTTGGCGTACTTCTACTGTTTTGCAGAACCAGTCACCAATGCTATTATTCAAGAGAAGTGCACCAGTGACCTTGTTGTATAACTCATCGATCAATCAAACAAGGTTAGCATTGATGTTGTATTTCCTCATGATGGTCCATAAGGTAGCATTCCACACTCTATCGAAGGCTTTTTTGAAATCGATGGTACACATGATAAAGGTCTTGCCGCTGTTGCAGGTACCTCTCGCAGATTATTCGTAGACTGAATATCTGTTCGGTGGAACTTCTTCCTGTTCTGAAGCCTGCTTGTTTTTCAGCAATGATTGTCTGTGCAATAGATTTCGGGTCTATTTACTAAGATCTTCAGCATCACCTTGCATGGGTGGCTTATTAAACTGATGGTCCGGAAGTTGTTACACAGCTGTAGGTTTCCTTTCTATGGTAAGGTGATAATCAGAGATTGGGTGGAGTTGGCCATACTAGTATTCCAGTGCTCCAGATGTTGTTGCAGATGGTTGTAAGAGCTGTGATCATTGCTTCTCCTCCAGCATTAACCAGTTCTGAAGGTATGTTGTCGATACATGTACCTGCTGATTTCTCTTGTTTTCTAGCATTGATTGCCGCCTCGACTTCTTCCCGTAAAATCGTAAGTGAGTCCTCCTCTGTATCTGCCAGTGGGCAGTTTAATACTGCTCGGTCTCCCTTGCTCAGAGCAGTATTCTGTCCATCAAGTAGTATCTAATATATCCTTCTCCTCAGTTAGGCATTTTGTTTTGGATGCTCGTTGGTTTTATTTTTTTTTCTCAATGGTGAGGCCTTTTACCACTTGATACATCTTCTTAGTATTGTTTCTTTGAAGGTTTTCTTCGATTTCAGAACACTGTTTTTCAATCCATATATTTTTAACTTTATTCATCTGCTTTCTGACTTTGTTGTTTGCTTCTCTGTACATGTATTTATGAGTTCCTTCTGGGTTGTCTTCCTTATTTTTCAGCTCCCGTCTCCTGTCACATAGCTCCGAGATGTTGGCGTTAACCCATTGGTTTTGGGGCGCTGATGTTTCCCCAAAATCTCATTGGCTGTTTCAACTATTGCTTCGTTGAAGACATGACCACTGGTTCGAGGCCTAAGTTGTTTTCTTCCAGTGAATTCAGGGCTGCAAATTTTACTCCTATCATCGCCTGAAAATCATACTCTTATATGAAAATCCCCACTCTTGTAGTGGGATCTTTGAACTTATCCAGGTTAAATCGAAGTCTGGTAAACTTTGATTTCCTGATTTGTTTTAGATGGACTCTGAATGACATCATGACCAGACCTTGGTCGCATCCTATGTCCGCACCAGGAAGGTACGTGTGCTTGCCGTGTTTACCACTGCTCTAAAGTGCCTTTGGACCATAATGTAATCACTCTGATTTCGGTATTGGCCGCCTGGGCTTGTCCATGTCCAGTTCCTTTATGGTTTGTGAACTCCCAGTGTATTTGCCAGAACAAGTTTATAGCGGCAAACTCATGCAGTTGATGAACTCTTCCATTCGTTGTAGGGATAATTTCCTTCCAGATTGCTTGAGCATCTTTTCCAGCCTTAGCATTCCAGTCATCTTGTACCACTAAAATGTCTTTCATATGTGTTTCATCAATGATTTCGTGTAGTTGGTTGTAGAACTCATCCATTTCTTCGTCACTGTAATCATTTTTAGGGGCATATGATTGCACTACCGTGATGTTAAATGGTGCTGCATTCATGGGGATGGAGATTAGTCTACTGGAGACCGGGTGGCATCCCATGACTGTACTGATTGTGTCTTTATGTACCAGGAAACCCACTCCTTCTTTGTGTTTGTCATCCCGTCCGCTGTATTACAGATTGCGCCCGTCCATTGTTGTTGTATCACCTATGTGTTTCCATCGCGTCTCACATAAGCCCACAAGGTTCTAGTTATATCTATTCATCTCATAAACCAATTATTCTATCCTTCCCTCTTGTCCTAAGGTTCTTGCATTCAAAGTGCCAGGGACGATGTTTTCTCGAGCACGTAGCTTTGTTCCTGGGGCACCATTTGTGTACATACATCCGCTCTGGTGTGTGGTAGCGGAAGGCGCGGTCCTTGTTCCGAGACTTTATAAATTCAGTTATAGTTTTCTTCATCATGATGAGTCTTGGTCGATGTAACCTGGCGGCGCCCATCCCTCTCCAGGCCGCCAGCCACAGCCGAAGTTCCCCCATAACCTGGAGGGACGCATTGGCCCTGGACACATGGTCGTTGAGCTATTCTGGAAGCCCTTCCGCCCTAGCCGGTGACCGCTGTCGCAGCTCCTTCGCTCTCTCAGTTTTGCAGACCATAGCCTAAGGCCCCAAACCGTGTTTTTGTTTTCAAGTTAACACCATATATCAAATAAAAAAAAAACTTTAGAAATTGTTTTGTAAACACGTTTGACACCATTGAAGCCTTTGAGGCTTTTGAAATGCAAGGGTTACTATTAAGTGACCTCAGTGCTCACCGTACCTTTAGATCTAGTTTATTGAAAAAAAATTATAAAGGAAATTTGGACAGTAATTTTGCTTTAGACAACTATTGATTAATGTTTGATGGGTTTTTTTCCAGATGTGCCAGAGGTTCAGTCCATCTCTCTGGACGGGTTCACAGGTAACCCGTATAATGACAGCAGTCCTATTTCTGTGACAGGTGTAATAAGGGCGTGGCCCTCAGTGGACAGCTTAACATGGGGCATCAGAAATGATCGCTTCACAAACCAGTTTATCCCTTTAGGTCAGTCAGTGAACTTAATGTAATTGAATAAACGTTTTAAACATAATGTTTAAAACAAGACAATCATCTAGATTATCATATCACAATTAACATGTAATTTGCATCTTGAATATATTTTATTAAAATTTCTCAGAATTATACTATTGTTTACCAGACTCGAGATACATCACCAATCGTACTGTGAACTGCTCGTACGCCTACTATAACAAACAACTAAAAAAATGACAAGTTAAATTCTTTAGATTAATGGATTTTGAGTAGTGTAGATCTACAGCTGGCTAGTCAGAGAAAAAAGGACGGCTGACTGTGAGATAACAGAGGTACTTACTCTACAGAACCCGGACTGTACCGATACAGGGAATAAGTTCTCACTGTATGCCAAGAATGAACAGGGCAACTCTACCATCAAAACGTCACAGAACAATATCACAGTTTTATGTAAGTTACTCTAATATTAAAGACTGTTCTGTATATATTCATGTTCTGACTTTACAGTAAAGAGAATCTATATTGCAATAATTATGCCTACTTTTTTTCACCCAGATTCACAAAATAAATATTTCTAGATCAATGGATTTAATTTTTTTCTATTAGAATTTGCAGTGTTCAGACTGATTTGGTAATGCAAAAGAAACATATGACGTCATATGATTTTACAATTTCAATTATAATAAATCAAAACTGAATAAGTAGCTGTGCTCACCCTAATGGTCACAGTGTCAACATATCAAACATTTGCAATAATTCCCTTGGTTTTGATAGGTTCCCCTCGTCTTGCTGATGGTGACACAGCCAATCAGACCTATAGAGTCTGTGAAGGGTCACCAATCAACATGTCAGCCAAGTTTATATCGGTACCTGGACCGGATATATTATGGTACCGACTACCAAATACTACCAGATACCTACACCAGGACCGCTATAACAATAGTAACAGGGCTGTGTATTACACCACAACTTACAGCATACATGCCGTCTATAAGTACATGTTTGGCAGCTACGTTGTGGAAGCAGATAATTACAGAGGTCCAAGAGTCAGAGCTTACATTGAACTTCTGGAAGTCTTCAACTGTTTAGGTATATTATTGAACTAAATGATGATGAATGAACATGAACTTCTGGAAGACTTCAACTGTTCAGGTAAATTATTGAACTAACTGAGAAATCAAACCGTTCAGGTATAACATTGAGGACTCCAATCGAACAGGAATAATACTGAACATATTTAGGACTCAAACTGTTCAGTTACTGTTACTGTAAAAGTATAATATTTAGCGGTGTATTCTATTTAGCGATTTTGGCGGAAAGCAGAGTCCGCTTGATCACGTACATTCGCTAAATTTCTTGTATATCATAAATTTATCTCTAGCACATTCAGATAGTACTGAATTAATTCTTCTTTAACTTGATGAAAAAATTATTTCCCACCAAATATCGTAAATACGCCAAATATTATACATTTACAGTATTACATTGAAGGCCATTGCAGGTTTTACATTGAGGACTTTTATTGTTCTGATATTACATTGGGACTCCAACTCTTAAAGTATTACAACATGTCAGCCAAGTTTATATCGGTACCTGGACCGGATATATTGTGGTACCGACTACCAAATACTACCAGATACCTACACGTGGACCGCTATAACAATAGTAACAGGGCTGTATATTACACCACAACTTACAGCATACAAGCCGTATATAAGTACATGTTTGGCAGCTACGTTGTGGAAGCAGATAATTACAGAGGTCCAAGAGTCAGAGCTTACATTGAACTTCTGGAAGTCTTCAACTGTTTAGGTATATTATTGAACTAAATGATGATGAATGAACATGAACTTCTGGAAGACTTCAACTGTTCAGGTAAATTATTGAACTAACTGAGAAATCAAACCGTTCAGGTATAACATTGAGGACTCCAATCGAACAGGAATACTAGTAATACTGAACATAATTAGGACTCAAACTGTTTAGTTACTGTAAACGTATCCTATTTAGCGGTGTATTCTGTTTAGCGATTTTGGCGGAAAGCAGAGTCCGCTTAATCACGTACATTCGCTAAATTTCTTGTATGTCATAAATTTATCTCTAGCACATTCAGAAAGTACTGAATTAATTCTTCTTTAATTTGATGAAAAATTATTTTCCACCAAATATCGTAAACACGCCAAATATTACACATTTACATTATTACACTGAGGGCCATTGCAGGTTTTACATTGAGGACTTTTATTGTTCTGATATTACATTGGGACTCCAACTCTTAAAGTATTACAATGTGGACTCCATTGCTTCAGGTATTACCCCGGTATGTTGAATCTTTGAATCTAAGGAGAATCACAACCATTCTGGTACATACATGACTTAACTGTAGAGATTTTATATTGAGGACTCCAACTGTTCAGGTACATGTATATATAACATTGAACTTACACGGACTCAAACTTATATTTGATCTTTGCAGACCTCAAATTCAGTGTATTTTGATAAACGTATTATACCCCCTGCAAACGACGGAATATATTGGAATCTTGGAATCACCATGTCCGTCCGTCTGTAGACGAGATTTGTTCGGACCGTTTCTCGAAAACTATTTCAAGGATTTGTCTGAAAATTTATACACTTTTTATTCACCATATGAAGATGTGCATTCTGGTATTTTCATTATGATTGGATGATTTTCTGCATTTTTCAGGAATTTTTTTTTTCTTTTTTATCTAAACTAAACGAAGTTGGGGGAGATTATGTGATACAATCGGCGTCCCACTGCCAGATTTCAGTTTTTGTTGCAATTTTCTTTTTAAGTACTTCTATGCCCTACATGAGTCAGATATGCATGGAGGATGCTTCTAGTGTGTTTTTTTAATACCAGTCAAGGATTCGGATGCTGCAAATTCAGCTAAGGAATGACCAGGTTAATGTTTTTAGAGCAGGTTAAAGTTTTGAATGTAGGTTTATGTTTTTGGTGCAAGTTTCATTTCCAAATAGTTATAAGCCCTATGTTGACCCAACTTGCATGGATGGTACGTCTAAGGATGCATACTATCAGACTTGCTTCGGATGCTGGATCTGACTTACATTTCCGGTTGAGTGAACAGGTTAAAGTTTTAGGTGCAGGTTCCATTTCCAAGTAACTATTAATCCTATATTGCCCAAATTTCCATGGATGATACATCCAAGGATGCATACTGTCAAATTTGCTTCGGATGATTGATCTGACCTACATTTTCCGGTTGAGTGATAGGTTTAAATTTTTGGTGCAGGTCCCATTTCCAAGTAACTATAAACCCTTTGTTGACCAAACTTGTATTGATGAAACATCTAAGAATGCATATTATCAGAATTGCTTCGGATGCTGGATCTTCCCTACATTTTCCGGATGAGTGAACAGGTTAAAGCTTTGGGTGCATGTCTATTTCTATGACGCCATAAGGCCTATCTCAACCAAAATTTCACGGATGATGCATCAAAGGATGAACGCTCTTAAACTTGCATCAGATGCTGGATGTGAATTACATTCTCTGGATGAGTGACTAGTTTAAAGTTTTGGATAAATCTGTTCCCAAGTAACTCCTATCAGATCAATTTGCAGAAATGTCGAATCTTTGGATGTACACTACTAGACTGTAGTTCAATATGGGGCTTACTTAAAGACAACATTCGTTGAGGTGAACTCTGTAATCTCTGTTTACTTATGTTTTTTTCTGATTTTATCCAAACCGTTTCTGAAAAATATTACATTTTTTGTTAATTTTTCTGCATTTTACAAGGTTTTTTTCATTGTATGGACTTAGTCATTTTGAGTGTATGTCTAAAGTTTGAGACAAAGAAGCTAACAAAATGTCAACTACAGCTTAAAAAATAGTCATTTAAGCTAAAAAAAAAATATATCATCAAGTATTAAAAACATTTTTTAGCTCACCTGAGCCGAAGGCTCAAGTGAGCTTTTCTTTTCAAAATTTGTCCGTCGTCTGTCGTTGTTGTCGTCGTTGCCGTAAACTTTTCATATTTTCATCTTCTTCTCAAGATCCGTTGGGCCAATTTCAACCAAACTTGCCAAAAAGTATCCTTGGGTGAAGGGGATTCAAGTTTGTGCAAAAGAAGGGCCAAGCCCTTTTCCAAGGGAGATAATGATGAATTAATGAAAAGTTAATGGCATCTTTTAAAAATCATCTTCTCCAGAACCATTGGGCCAGGAAAGATGAAACCCATGTGGAAGCATCCTCAGGTAGTGTAGATTCACGTTTGTTCAAATCATGACCCCCAGGGGTAGGGCGGGGCCACAATGGCTGATCAAATTTTTACATAGAAATACATGTATATAAGAAAAGAATCTTTAAAAAATATTCTTCTCCTAAACCATTGGGCCAACAAAGATGAAACTAATGTGGAAGCATCCTCAGGTAGTGTAGATTCAAGTTTGTTCAAATCATGACACCCCCCCCCCCCCCAAGGTAGGGCGGGGCCACAATAGCCGATCAAAATTTTACATAGGAATTCATTCTAGGAAAATCATTTTAAAATCGTCTTGTCAAGATCAGCAAAGCTACGATTTGTGATATTAATATGGAAACATTCTCAGTTAGAGTTAATTCAAGTTTGTTCATATCATGACCCCTAGGAGTAAGGTGTGGCCATAATGGGCAATCAAATCTTTACATAGAAATATATAGGAAAAATCTTTGAAACTCTTCTTCTCAAGTACGGCAAAATTATACATGTATGTTTTATTGATATGGTGACATATCAGGTAAAAAAAAATCAAATCCCTTCTACCCAAACAAGTAAACTTTTCAATACTGAGCTGATTTGTGTTTTTAACTAGACCATGTACTCAGGTGAGCGGTGTGGCCCATGGGCCTCTTGTTACATTACACAGCAGATAGTGTAAACCCATTTGTCCCTTGGGAGTAATAAGTGGACATGCATCCAGTTAAAGATTAATTAACGAGTTTGTTGTTGGAAGTTGTTAGAAAATCTCTAATAAAGTATGTTATCCTTATCTCCTGTGAATTTGGCAAAAGAATTGAAGATCTCTGATCTCTAATTCTTTTAATTGTAATTTATTGTCTGATCAAACCGCCTAGTTACTGGATGACTAGCCTTTTATTTTTAAAATGAATGTAATATAAAGTTACCAAGATTAATTTGATTTTGTATATTGATATGATTTTTTTCAACAATCAATTTGCATAGTATCGTATTTCACAAGGATGACAGCTTTAATTTATTTTTTCAATATAATAAAAAACAATGTAATTACAGTGTATTAGTATTGATGTTTTATAAAGTTGAACTTTAGTTTCATTCATTTAAAAAATATAACGAGCAATTTTATTTTCACTCAACATGTTTATTGCCTGACGTCACGGCGCCAGGCACTACTAAGGATCAATATTTCCTAGGTGCGAAGCTAAGAGGTCACAGTTAGCCTACATGCGTTTCAGCAACAACAGTTAGCAGAAAAATAACCATATTGCTGATACAATACATTGATGTATTTATTTCCTTTAGCTTTTTGCTAGCAGCTATTTATTTCATATGAGTTCTTATACGGATATGTCCGTTTGACCTTCTTTCCGCGTTTCTATACTACTGGCTTAGTCCATTTTTCATCTAGGTAAGGGGTGACACAATCATTTCGCGCCAAAATGTCACGTGTAAGTTTTTGCGCCATTTTTCTGGACTATTCTATTGAATGGAAATGAAAAATGCATGAATTATATAAAGTCTGTTCTTCTTGAATTCTGGTCGTGCTTTGGGGAAAAAAAAACATACCGGTGATACTAGTATTGTGAAGTGAGTTAGAAGTTACATCATTTAAAGTAATAAAAACGAAACGAGCAAAAACCTTTTAAGAGGATATACTGGCCAAATATATATCTGATCATACCCCCCCCCCTCCATGGGGTTTCCTCCACAGAGTATAGACTTATAAAAGTGTCCTCCATTTCAGGATTGAGAAAGTTTATTGCTTTTTTGCTCGTACAAATATATTTGACGTGGACCCCTCATCCCTGGGAAAAACTTCCTGAATAGAGCTTTAATTATTTATCCCACGTTTCCAACAATCTTTGATGCTCTGGCATACCCAAGATACTGTTAAACATATTCTGCATGTCACTCATAACCGTTACGATTCCCAATTTCTTGTAGTTATCATATTTTCAGCCGTCTTCCTCAAAGCCTATGCTCTATGCAGTTGAATCTATTCCATGTAACCTTTACATGTAGCCATGCTTTCCAGCATTAATCAATTACATTAGTGTTTTCCTTTATTCAATTCATCCTCTAAAACCATTTTTAGACTCGCCGAGTGAGGTGTTCATCTTTACGTCGCGAGTTCGAATCTACAGCGGGACATGTACATAATTTCATTTTTGATTTGAGATACAAACAGTATACATGTATACGTTTTATATAAAATGTTTTCTTTTTCCATTGCTCTGATGAATATCAAACAACTTAAAATGAATGCATGATGTTTTGTGCAACATCTTCATAATTTGCTCTTGTGAAATAATTTAACCCCCCCCCCCCAATGTAACGTTTATAATCTATCATGCTTATAGGTTCTATAGATATTGATGGCATTAGTCAGGCAAGCTTTTTAAAAGCTGTTACTTGTAGGAAAATTATGATCCATAAAATATTCCTCATTTGGTTTATTATCAATTGAACACAAAAAAAAATTGTTTTCCGAAATACCCAATACATGAAAGCATTTATTAGAACTTTATAAACTTAAGGAAATCATTAAGTTGGTCTTATAAAAAGAGATATCATATTATTGATTATTAAAGACCTGTTGGTTTTAGGAGGTTTGCCTATTACAACAACGGAAGAAACAATTACCACAGCAACTGAATCCAGTACCACAGCAATTGAAGTCAGTACTAAATTAAGATCGATAAACACGGCCTCTCCCAAGAAGTCAGGAGAGGGTGGGGTAATAGCAGGAGCTGTAGTGGGGTCACTCCTGTTGATATCCCTGTGGTGAGAGGGACCCTAGTATACATAAGATACAACAGAAAAAGAAAAGGTCAGTATCAATAAAACATATACTGTAGATGTACCTGTTTTGGGGGATGATAAACAAATAGATGTATATTGATACCACACAGTACTTCTACCACATCTACTCCCAATTTTGTATCTGCATAGCAGTTTATCACATGTGAATCACAATGTCCTATATCAATCAACAGACAATGTACACTCTCTGTGTATATGCGAGATTAAAATTTTAGTGAGTAGAAAGACTTGTGTAATTACGCGAAAAATAAACATGATAAAGTTCTTATGAATAAAGAATGCTTTAAAGTAAGTAGCACAGAGGACAGCCATTTTTTTACGGCTTTAAGCTGTTGTCACATTAATGGTTACATTCGCAAGTACAGATGCTTCTAGATGATAATATGATTATCTCTTGTAATGATGCATATAAGTTTATTTATTATTCTCCTCATATTTGTACATCTTCATCAGTACTGATTATTTTATTCCAGGGAATGAAAAATTTGAACAGCTGGACCTTCTGAATGCCCAGAATTGCTGACAAGAAGGAAAGGAATAGGACACAATTTAATGGAAATTACACAACATCCGAATTCATTGCTGCTTACAAAAGGCTATAGGGCATTTTTAAAAATTTTCATAATTTTGTAAAAATCAATCTTCACCTGTGATATATATAAACTACAGTGATTTTTAGCTTACCTGAGCCAGATGCTTATTAGTGAGCTTTCTGATGGGTGAATGTCTGGTGTGTCTTCCTGTTGTCTTTTGTTGGCCGTATGTTAACTTTCCACATTTTTAACTTCTTTGGTACTGAGCCGAGTCCAACCAACTTTAAACAAAGCATTATTGCGTAAAATTATTGTTTAGATAAAGAGGAAAGGATAAGATAATGCATAGTGACAAATTTGGTGGTATTGTTATAAAAATCTAGTTTGCTATAACGGCATAACCACTGGACAAAAACTTACCTCAGGGCTGGGGTGGGTCACAATAGTTGTACATGAGAATTTATAGGGGAAAAAATCGACTATAAAAGAATTCTGTCATCAGTATTAAGGGAAATAAAAACACATTTCAAAAATGTTCATATCGATCCAAGTTTTGTTTTTTAATCCAACTATGAATTCTTATATTCAATAACATACTGTAAATGTATTAATTATATTTAGCATGTACGATATGTGATGAAAATTGAAATTTGTGCAAGTTAGGAAAGACTTGATTTAGTGCGTTTCCTAATGTTCTTATTTATGTATACATGTGCAAAACAATTTATTGTGCTTCAATTAGCGTTTCTTAATTCCGCCAAAAGCGCTAATAAGAATACAAATGTAATACATTGACAGTGGCCTGTTTGTGAAGGACAAAAAAATTCTCCAGAACAGCTGGGTAATATTATTACTCATATTGATACTAAAGTATTCACATGCCACGTAGATTCAAATTTTTGACCATCTGGAGTTGGGGGTGGACCATGATGATATGGGTTCAAAATTTGACATGGGAATTATATGGGGAAAAAAATTCTTCAATCTGAACAACAACATTAACAGGAGGTAAATCTGGTGAGCACCGTGGCCCATCTCTTGTTGAAGTGAAAGGGCTACCTCATGGTGCTTTTCAAGAATTCTTATTCTATTGTAGGAATAATTTTTTAAATAAATCTTATTCGTTGTTCTTTACAAGAAAAATCCTTTCTTTTTAATCTTGCAAATCCATTGTTTGAGATAATTCTATTATTTGAGACAAATAATCAAGTTATGTTGTCATAAATTTTATTTACTTTCTATACATATCAATTTTAGAACTAATATGTATTATGTGATAAATATTTTGCATTAGCTCATTCATGTTATGAGCAAGTATTAAAACTGAATAAATGCCTGTGTGTTTATTATGCCTGTGTTTGGGCATGTTTTGATAAAGTATTTCAACATATATTGTCATATGATGGAATTTTAAGATTAAGTATGACTATGTTCAAAGTATGACCCCAGTGGGTCAGGCTAGGGGTCTCTGTAGGGTTTCATAGCTTACTTAATTACTAAAATACTTATGCCTGCTACCCCTTTTGTGGCACAGGCCTCTTACAAGATTCCTCCAGGCCCCTCTATCCTCTATCCTGAGCAATGCTTTCTACCTCCAGTTTTTACCCATTCTTTTGACATCTGCCTCCAAATCTCCCCGCCAGGTGTTCTTTGGCCTCCCTCTCTTACGTTTTCCTTTGGGGTTCCAGGATAGGGCTTTACTTGTGGTGTTCTTATGTGGCTTGTGTAGAGTATGCCCTATCCACCTCCACCTTCTCTTCATTATTTCTGCTTTTATATGCGCTTGGTTGGTTCTTTGCCACAGATTGGTGTTATTTATTTTGTCGGGCCATCTAATCTGGTTGGTGCGTCTCGGACAAAGTTGACAAATGTCTGGATCCTGTTTACAGTGGAAACGGTCATCCTCCATGTCTTGGAACCATACTGAAGCACAGCCTTGACATTGTTGTTAAAAAGCCTGACTTTGGTGCATGTTGTTATTCCCATGGTCTTCCAGATGTTTACAAGTTGCAGGAATGCTAATCTGGCCTTTCCTATTCTTGCCTTTATGTCAGCTTCTGTTCCTCCTTGTTAATCCACTATACCGCTAAGGTAGGTGAAATGTTCTACTTCCTCTATTTCCTGAACTTCTATATTTAATGAGTATGTGATGGTGTGTTTGCTCTTAGGATCTTAGTTTTTGCGATATTGATGTTGAGTCCTATCTGTGTTGATGTCTACGCCACTGTTGTAATTTTCTCCTGCATTTGTTCCTGGGTATGTGATAAAAGTGTCAGGTCATCCACAAAGTCTAGGTTGTCTAACTTGACCATGGTGTCCACTGTGATCTATTTCTTCTATTGTTTGTGGATGATTTCATTATCCAGTCTATTGCCAGAAGAAACAGAAAGGGTGACAAAAGACATCCCTGACGAACTCCCTTTTTTACTTCGAATGGTTCAGTCAGTTGTCCTCCATGTATGACTTTGCATATCAGGTGTCCATAAGAGTTGCGGATGATTTTCACCAGTTTACAAGGAACTCCATAATGTTGCAGAAGTTTCCATATTGTCTCCCTGTCAACACTGTCAAAGTCTTTTTTGTAACCTATGAAGCCTTCATAGAGGGAGGAGTTCCATTCAGCACTTTGCTCGATGATGATGCGCAACGTTGCTATGTGGTCCTTACAAGATCTATTTTGACGAAATCCAGCTTGGTGGTCACGTAACTTATCTTCCACTTCTTTCATTCTGTTCAGTATGATCCTGTTGCATACATTCCCTGAAACATCCAACAGTGTTATTCCTCTATAATTGGCACAATTGCTGAGGTCTTCTAGTTTGAAAGCTTGATTAGGTATCCTTCATTCCATTCTTCAGGGATTGTTTCTGCCTCCCATATTTTCAGAAAAAGTTGGTGGAGCATGTTGGCTGAGTTGTCAAAATCAGCTTTAAGTGTCTCGGATGGAATATTATCAGGCCCGGTTGACTTGTCATTCCTCATCTGTTTTAGGGCTATTTTGATTTCCTCCTCAGTAGGAGGTCCCCAATCTATGTCTAGGTCTTCGTCTGCTGGTGTAATGTTACGAGGGTTGGGTGGAACTGGCCTATTCAACAAATCTTCAAAATGTTCTTTCCATCTCCTTCTTTGTTCTTCTTCCCCTTATAGTTGTTTCCCTGCTTTGTCTTTCACTGGCTTTTCTTGATTACTTTGCTTCCCAGCTAGCTTCTTTGTGTCATACAGATCTTTCATGTTTCCTGCTTTTGCAGCTTGCTTCTGCTTCTGTTGCCATTTCCTCGATGTACCTTCTTTTGTCGGCTTTAATACCTTGTATTCTTCTCTTGTTGGCCTCCGTATACTCTTTTTGTGCTTTTGTTTTTTTTAGCTCTTGTTCTGCGTGAATTGACCACAGCCTTCTCATCCTTCCTCTTCTGTACTTTCTTAAGCGTGTCATTTGTGATCCAGTCTTTATGATGATACTTTTTCACTCCAAGTATTTCATGGCAGCTTGATGCCATGGTTTCTTTTATCCCTTTCCAATGATCTTCAACTGTTGTTAGTTCACATATCTCTTGTAAGGCTTGGTATTTGTTTTTCACCGCAATCTTGTACTCCTGTAAGATTGAGTATCTTGAAGATATCTCTGATTCTCTGAGAGTTTCCTTTTTTTCATTTTCTTGCGCTTCAGTTTGATCCTGCCTGTCAGTAGATGGTGATCTGAGGCTACGTCTGCTGCTCATTTGACTCTGGTATCCCGCAAAGATCTTCTAAACTTCTTATTGATACATATATGGTCTATCTGATTTTCAGTTATCTGGTCTGGTGATACCCAGGTGGCTTTGTGGATTCTTTTGTGTTGGAATAAAGTGCCACCAATAACTAATTTGTTGAAAGCACATAAGTTTGCTAATCTTTCACCATTTTCATTCATTTGGCCCAGTCCATGTTGTCCCATGACCCCACTATATCCGGTGTTATCTTTTCCAATTTTGGCATTAAGGTCTCCCATCATGATGGTAACATCTCTTTCTCTACAGGTGTCAATAACGCTTTGAAGTCTGTTGTAGAACTCATCTTTTGCTTCTTCCTCTGCATCATTTGTTGGAGCATAGCATTGAATAATATTTGTGTTAATCCGTTTATGTTTTGTTTTAAATGATGCCTTTATGATCCTTGGACCATGTGCTTCTCAACCTATTAATGCTTCCCTTGCTGTTTTGGATAGCATGAGTGCCACTCCTTGAGAATACGGTGAATTTTCTTCTTCATGTCTGAAATAGAGGAGTAATTCACCTGTGGTAAGTCTGCACTGTCCTGATTGAATCCATCTTGTCTCACTTATGCGGGCCGAGCAGTGTAAAATTGTATAGTTCCTTATCCCTGCTGCAATTTGCGCCGTTTTCCCTGCTTCGTACATGGTTCTTACTTTCCAAGTTCCTATATTGATAGTTCTGTGTTCGAGGAAGGTTATCTGCATCTTGACTAAATCTTGTTTGCGTTTCTTTAGCTCTTGTGTTTTACATGGTAGGGTTGCTAAACTTGCGCACAGCCATAACCCCCTGGACCCGGAGGACCGGTGGTTTTCTTTTGGGATTTTCCTTCCCCTAGTCACAGGTTCCGTCATTTAACTCGAAGTTTTGATAGTGTAACTTAGCGACATCAGTTACATCCTTCGAGACCTTCACCAGACTTTGACCCCGTTTCAAAGCTTAGTAAAGAAATTACCCTAACCCTAACACTAACTCATTAGGGTTAAGATAAGTCTGCAAGTGTTAGGGTTAGGGTTAGGCTTAGCGTTAGGGTTAAGCTTAGAGTTAGAGTAAGGCTTAAGGTTAAAATGTGAATTAGGGTTAGGCTGTTAGGGTTAGGGCTAGGGTTAGGGTTAGGCTAACCCTAACCATTGCAGTCCAACCCTTACCCATGCCATAATCCTAACCCTAATCTCAATGCTTCTTCTTTACCTTTACAGTTTAACCCTAACCCTAACCTAACACTAGCAGGCTAACCTTAGCTCTAATCCAA